AAAAAAAAAAAAAAAAAAAAGATGTGGAACAAATATCTGTTGGACTGCATCAACTCAACATAGTGACAATATCTCTAATACAGCATGCCACAGTGGTCAAATCCCTTTAACATTTCAATATTATGACAACTACACTCATATATAAACATTGAAGCACATTTGAGGATTTGTCATTTAAAGTTAATGTAAAACTGCAATTTATAGATAAGAAAAATCCATAGTCATGTAACATATTTTTTCTCATCCTCAGTGTAAATGATACTAAATATCCTAGAATAAAATGTAGTTTACATAATCTGTTACCATAATTTTGAGAAAGAATGGTTAACTCAATACCCTTTCAGTGGCTTTCCTCCACTTATTCTTTCTTCTGCCCACATAGTTGCCTACTCACAGACATTTTTAAAAGTCTTTTAGAGCCATCTTTGTAAAGAAAACAGCGGTCTTCTCTAAAAACAATGTAATTTAGCGATTTCAGTCACTGTTTTCTCCAACTTCACAGAAATCTTAGACTCTAATGGGCAACTTAAGTTCTTTAGCATTATTCTACTAGTCTTATTTCTGTAAACCAAAGATCTGTAGGTAAATTGGTAAGTAGGCAATCTGTCAGCAGAAAGTCTTTGTTGATTGTAACAACTGAAATAATCTTAGCAAATCACAATGCAGGATGATTTAAGGAATCCTAGAAGAGGTATAACATTATAAGACATTCTCACACGAAATGACAAACTATAATGTACATGTGGTCTCTTGTCAGAGATTCAGAGAGTTGTGTCCAACCACTTTCCAAATGCTGTACAGACATCTAGAAATCAAGCAGGAGATCCTTCTACTTGGTTTTTCCACAGCTGAAACACTGAACAGCTGTTGTAGGTACAATTCTGGGAAGGTTCTGGGAGAGATGAGCAGGCCCTAAAGGGGTGTCCTAAAAGCATGCATACATCTCCAGAAACTCAGACTGAGTACGACGCCCCCCCACCACTTCAGGGCCTGCAAAACCCAGATGAATCGGACCCCAAATCCTGCTCTCTAGAAAACTGGGGTGAGGTGGCATGGAAGGCGAAGGCACCCAAACACTATGATCCTTATATTCGAGTTTTGAGGCATTTTCTCACCCATGTTTCACCCAGAGCGTTGCATACAGCAGGTGCTCATTTACTGTTTTGGTGACCGACTGAATAAATAAATGTGAAAGACTGAGCCGAGCCTGGGGCTACAGGTGCACAATCGCCGTGGGCCCCTGGCCCAGCCGCCCACCACCACCCGCGCCAGAAACCGGTTAAGGAGGTCACCCTCTCTATCTATGTCGCTTCAAGCAGCAGTGGCACGCAACGGTCAGTCAGCCCTGGCCAGGCTGCGACCTCCCCCAGGACAGCACTCACCGTTGGTGTAGGGAGACCCCGAGGCCAAGGCGGCTCCGTTCTGGGCCTGGAGGCTGGTTGCGGCACCGCCGGAGGCCGGTATTCCCGGCTGAGACATGACGACGGCGGTTATCTGTGTTGGAAGGGGCTGGTTGGGGTCGACAACAGCGCACAAGAAGAGAGCTGAAAGACCACTGCTGAAAGCGGAGGGAGGAAGCTAACAACTTAAGACTGAAGACTGGGAGAAGAGAGGGGGGCGCATTAAGCCCGAGGCATAGCGCCGCACTCTCCCCAGGCCACCGGCGGCCACGGCCTAGCCTGGGAGATGAGGCTTGGGAGTCGGGCCCGCGGGGCCGCGAACGCCCGGCTAGAAGGCGGCAGCCAAACCTGGAGAGAAGGAGGGAGGCCTTGGCCGGAAGTGCCTGTCAGCCGCCGGCCGCGCAGCCGCAATCAGGACACGTGGCACTTCCGGCTCCGGGCTCGCAGCCGCTGCCGCGCCGGCGAAGCCTTCTCTGCCAGCCGGGCTGCCCCGAGGCCACCTGACAGCTCCTGGTGCCCCGACCCCGACGACCGTGCCCGTCCTCGCTGCCACGTCACCGACTCTCACGGCCTGCCGGAAGTGCCATGTGTCACCGCTACGGAAATTCCCGCCGTTGTGAACGTGACCTCGTTCGCAGAGCTGGGATCGTAGGGCAATCTGGGATTCAGTAGCCGCTTTGGTGGGGTGGGACTGACAGTTCCTCTCCTCGGGTTTTGTGAACATTACCTGAGACAACAGAAGTCATCGTCCTCTGTTGAGACGTGCCACTGCTGGTAGCTGGGACGGTTAATGTTCATCACAGTATTTCATTCACATTTCGTCTTCATGTTTCAGATGTAAATTGTAAGGAGTTTTAAAAAGAGGTGGTTAAATATGTATACGTATTAATAGTGTGATCAAGCCAAGAAGGAGGCCTTTGTCTTTTGACTGGAGGACTCAGAGAAATTTTGATTTTGAAACTCGCTGATTCATAGCATAGTCACACTCAAGTTCATTAGCACATTTAAATGGCAGTTTTGTTTCCTCTTCTAAGAGTTTACAGTAAGGTAAAGAACTCAAACTTCCTTTCAGAGCAAGTAGACTTTTTTTTTTTTTTGCAAGTAGACTTTTTTGACTTTTGAAGCCAAAGAGAGGTCGAAACTGCGGTGATTAGACAGCATAGTTAATTAATGACTGAGTAATCATTTTAGCTGCCTTCATTCTATTTAGGGTTTTCCTGCTCTGTGCTGACGATAAAGCCCTTCTTTACAGGTTTGTACTGTTGATTAAAATGTCATGCCACGCGGTTTCGAAACCTCAGTGTGAAGTACATCTTACCTAATTCATTTAGTATCAAATGCCTGCTATGAAGTGTTATATTACATACAAAAAAAGCCAGAATTAAACCACTGTGTCAGGCTGGGCAAGGTGGCTCACTCCTGTAATCCAAACACTTTGGGAGGCTGAGACAGAAGGATTACTTGAGGCCAGGAGTTAGAGACCAGTCTGGACAACTGGTAGAGTCCCCTTATCTCTATTAAAAAAAAAAAAAAATTGTTTTTAAGACTGAGTCTTCGTCTGTTACCCAGGCTGGAGTGCAGTGGCGCCATCTCCACTTGCTGCAGCCTCCGCCTCCTGGGTTCAAGCAATTCTCCTGCCTCAGCCTCCCGAGTACCTGGGATTACAGGCTCATGCCACCATGCCTGGCTAAGTTTTGTATTTTTGGTAGAGACAGGGTTTCACCGTGTTGAAAAGGCTGGTCTCATACACCTGACCTCAGTTGATCCACCTGCCCCAACCTCCCAAAGTGCTGGGATTACAGGCGTGAGCCACCGTGCCCAGCCAATTTTTAAAAATCAAATAACAAATTTTAAGATCTTGCCCAGTGTGGTGGCACATCCCTGTAGTCTCAGCTACTCAGGAGGCTGAGGTGAGAGGATCACCTGAGCCCAGGAGTTCGAGGCTGCAGTGAGCTATGATCTCACCACTGCACTCCAGCCTGCGTGACAGAGTGAGATCCTGTCTCTAACAAAAGAAAAAGAATAAACAACTGTGTCAGGCCTAAAAACAGTCAGTAAAAATTCAAATAACTAAATACTAAATTTTATACTAACCCTGTTTTCATCATTTGCCTCAGAACTTTACTAAAAATGTATTTGCTCGGGTGTGGTAGCTCATGCCTGTAATCCCAGCACTTTGGGAGGCTGAGGGGGGCAGATTACCTGAGGTCAGGAGTTCAAGACCAGCCTGGCCAACATGATGAAACCCCATCTCTACTAAAAATACAAAAATTAGCCAGGCATGGTGGCACATGCCTGTAATCCCACCTGCTCAGGAGGATGAGGCAGGAGAATTGCTTGAGCCCGGGAGACGGAGGTTGCAGTAAGCCAAGATTGCGCCACTGCACTCCAGGCTGGCCGACAGAGCAAGACTCTGTCTTTAAAAAAATAAAATAAAGATAAATAAGTAAATATTGGCTGTAAGTAGCATTGAACAATTCAATTCCTTTGTACAAGATCCAAGTACTCGCGCTCTCTCTCTCTCTCTCTCTCTCTCTCTATATATATATATATATTTTTTTTTTTGAGACAGTCTGTTGCACAGGCTGGAGTGCAGTGGTGCAGTCACAGCTCACTGCTGCCTCAACCTCCTGGGCTCAAGCAGTCCTCCAGCCTCAGCCTCCTGAGTAACTGGGACTACAGGTATGTGCCATTATGCCTGGCTAGGTTTTATTTGTTTATTTGTTTGTTTTTGTAAAGAGAAGGTCTCACAAGAGATCCTCCTGCCTCCTCCTTCCAAAATGAGATTACAGGTTTGAGCCACCACGCCCAGTTAAAATCTTCTTTAAGATGAAGATGATACTTATGGTCAAATTGTTTTCAGTTTGGAGCCACTACAACAAAATCCCAAATTATAGACCCAAAAACACTTTAAAATTACACAGACACAAGCCTCTGAATGTTTTGAAGAGGGAATAGAGCTCAGAGAGAAACAACCCTTCTGAGGTCAGACAAAATCAGGGTCACTCTTCAAAGAGGCAAATACCTGATCTCAAACCTGCATTAGTTTAATTCTCTCTTTTTATTCAACTCATTTTGAATGACCTTGATTTGTTTTGACCTTGGCATGGTGGTTTGATTTGGTTAAATCAAGCTTTCTTTGAACTTTGTGCTATTTAAGCAGTATCTTTTTTTTTTTTTTTTTTTTTTGGAGACGGAATCTCACTCTGTTGCCAGGCTGGAGTACAGTGGCACAACCTCAGCTCACTGCATCCTCTGCCTCCCAGGTTCAAGCTATTTAAGCAATACCTGTGTGTTCAGATATTTATTTATTTATTTATTTTGAGAGGGAATCTCGCTCTGTCGCCAGGCTGGAGTGCAGTGGTGCGATCTCGGCTCATTGCAACTTCTGCCTCCTGGGTTCAAGTGATTCTCCTGCTTCAGCCTCCTGAGTAGCTGGGACAACAGGCGCATGCCACTGTGCCCGGCTAATTTTTGTATTTTTACTAGGGACGGGGTTTCACCATGTTGACCAGGCTGGTCTTGAACTCTTGACTTCAGGTGATTAACCTGCCTTGTCCTCCCCAAGTGCTGGGATTACAGGCCTGAGCCACTGCGCCTGGCCCCAGAGATTTTAAAAAGTACTCTAGTTAGTTAAATCAGGTTAAATCAACGTAAATAATTTGCTAATAAGTAAATAATGCTTTTTCCAAAATTTGTTCCACCCATAAGTTGCGATGTTACTGTTAGTGTCCTCAAAACAATGATTAAGTATTTCAAATGGTTTTTACACTGTCAGTGTAATCAGCACTACAGTATTGAGGAGAGCTGGGCACCGTGGCTCATGCCTGTAATCCCAGGACTTTGAGAGGCCGAGGCAAGTGGATCCCCTATGCCCAGGAGTTGGAGAACAGCCTGAGGAATATGGCAAAACTCCATCTTTACAAAAACATACAAAAAATTAGCTGGGCATGGTGACGTACGCCTGTAGTCCCAGCTACTCAGAAGACTGAGGTGGGAGGACCGCTTGAGCCTGGGAGATTGAGGCTGCAGTAAGCCATGACTGTGCTACTGGACTCCAGCCTAGGCAACAGAATAAGACCCTGTCTCAGAATATATATATATATAAAAAGAGAGAGAGAGAGAGGAGAAAAATGGCATTTCTCATCTGCCTAACCTTTGGGATAGTAGAAAGGTAAGTTTAAGTGAGATGGGACAACATATTTTAAAAGTCAAGTAGCTTTCATATTAAGTATTATCCACACAATATCAAATCCTTTGATGACTCCTTTAAGTGTGGCCACAAAAATATGAAAAAATTATTGGTGATAGCAATTATAACAGTTGCTCTTGGCCAGGCACCATGGCTCACGCCTGTATTCCCAGGGCTTTGGGAGGCCAAGGTGGGTGGATCACTTGAGGTCAGACATTCAAGAGCAGCCTGGCCAACATGATGAAACTCTGTCTCTACTAAAAATACAAAAATTAGCCAGGCGTGGTGGCCGATGCCTGTAATCCCAGCTACTCCGGAGGCAGGGAGAATCACTTGAACCTGGGAGGCAGAGGTTGCAGTGAGCTGAGATATTGCCACTGCACTCCAGCCTGGGCGACAGAGGGAGACTCTGTCTCAAAAAAAAGAAAAAAAAATTGCTCTTAACCAATTGTTATTGATATTTCTTTGTTCAATTACCTGTATGTACGCTATACTACTATACATTTTTCTAAACTGATGTCAGTATATATTCTACTTTTTTATCTTTATTGTCCAGAAAAACAGAATCCTTCTGCTACATATACAACCTTCATAAGGCCATTTTCTGCATATTTTCAGAGCCTTCAACCCTAGTTAAGAAAATTGTAGGCCCAGCACAGTGGCTCACACCTGTAGTCCCAGCGCTTTGGGAGGCCAAGGCAGGCAGATCACAAAGTCAGGAGTCCAAGACCAGCCTGGCCAACATGGTGAAACCCCCGTCTCTACTAAAAATACAAAGTAGCCAGGCGTGGTGGCGGGTGCCTGTAATCCCAACTACTCGGGAGGCTGAGGCAGAAGAATCCCTTGAACGCGGGAGGCAGAGGTTGCAGTGAGCCGAGACCATGCCAGTGCACTCCAGCCTGGGCAACAGAGTGAGACGATTTCATTTAAAAATAAAAAAAGAAAGAAAGAAAATTATAAACAACAAAATAAGTGACAAGAAACTGTTCCAGTAAGGATATAAGCACTATACTAAGAATATTCCATTACATTTGATTATTTAGACTCAAAACTGGGAGACAGGCATTTCTAATGAAATTTGCCGATATGCAGAAGTGAACTTAGGCTCCCACCAGAGCTCCTTTGCCTGGCTGTTCATGATTGTTGCATTTTCAGGTGGTAAATAGGATCAATTTGATTTACTTTTCAG